CTATATTGGGGGTGAAGTTGTGGCGTTTGGAGAACATTAACATATATTTGGTGAGGTAAGCCTGAAGAGTTTCATCATCATCACTGGGAGTTATTTGTAAAATCCTATTTCCTTCAATGCTTCAACATGCTATTTTAGGGTCCTTTTCGTCAACATTTCCAGCAGTTCGAAGAGAAGGTTCAAAAGTGGCATTTAGCCACAGTTGAAGAAGCCAGTGGGGGCCAGATAAAAGCAGGTTGGTGCCTGCTTCATAGTCCTTGAGTTTGGCAGTAACAGCCCCTAAACTTTCATACAGACTATCTAGAAGTAACTCACTCAAGCACACCTCTCGACCAGAGTGTAACTAGTTTGCTAAGGTCAAAAATCTCTTGGCTACTTGCAATGATTTACAACAAAATATTAATTTGGATATCCATAAAGCTAGAAAAGATATATGTTTAATGTCGGATACATCCTCACCATCAGCATGATATAGGTCTATATAGGTGCTAAAGGAAGCATTTTTTATGTTAAAATTGATGGTGTTTTCAGATTCCAAAAAAGGGTCAAATGTCTCTCCAGTAGGAGGAAGTCCAGTAATAGCAGCGATATCAAAAAAGGTTGGGGTTATCATCCCACAGGGGAGATGAAAAGTGTTATAAATATTATCCTAGAAATATAGGGACGCTAGTAAGAAAGGTTGGCAATAGCTGAAACCTAATTTCGACATTTGAATCAAGTCGAAAATTCCCAATTCTTTCCAGGCTTGAGCTTTTTTCTTTTCAACCTTAGTAAGCCAAGCTAAATAGGATTTATCTAGGGTTGGGCAAGATCGAAAAGTTCTAAAGCTTTCAGTTATGTAATCTAGCTGGAAAGCTTCTCTCTTTACCTTAGGGTTTGAAGGGATATCCTCAGAGGTTTTCTTAGAAGATTTTTTGGGTTTTTTACTGGAATCTTCAATGTTTTCCTTGGAGGGTACGATTTTGTTTTCCAAGGGTTTAGTAGTGTGAAAAGTTGGAAAAAACTCTACATATTCTTCCAAGTTTCCAGTTGCGATCAAGGGGCCTAAAAACCTAGGGTTTTATCAGAAAGCAAAGAAGGGATTAATACCTGAAAAGTATAAATGGCTTTTTGTTCCCTAGTGAGTTCGGGAGGCGTGATGAACTCTTGATTCCCGGAAGTGACGAATTTGTTGGTTGGTACAAAGCTTTAAGAAGATGAACCTTTGATTATTCCAGACTTTTCAGCATGCTTGGAATCTTATTTGATAGTAGACATTATTGCAGATTTGAAGAAGTTGATGAAGCTTTTCAAGAAAAATGAGAGCGTAAATCAGGAAGAAAGTATGAAGATTTCTGGGTTTGCAAAAGAAGAAAGAGAAAGAATAAAATAAATGAACTTTTATAATGGTTAGTGGAAGAGTTGGAGGTTACACCTCAAAAAGTTAGTGGGGCACGTGTAAACATCTTGTAAAGAAAGGCGAAAGATCACTGTTCATTTTCTTGGAAGTTGATACATAATTATGTTGAGACTGCTGCACGTACGTCTTGATGAGACGTTTTAGAAAAGTAGTCATGATTAACTATGACGTCAGGAATTAAAGAAAACTGAAAGGTTGCTAGTCGAAATCTGTTGATTACAAGAAATTCCTATTTCTGCACTAATTCGAAATAGACATTTATTGGGGGAAATTTGTTAGCTGAAGATTTCGACATTTGATGAAAATTGATTTGAGAAAATAAATGTTTCAAAAGATGGCATAAAACTTGACCTTATAAGGTTTTATAAAAATTTATTTTCTTAGTTCGATATGTCGAAGGACCAACCAAAGTCAAATGAATGAAGATCACTTCGAAAATAACGTTAGATGAATTCAAAGCTTCGAGCGGGAAAAGTTTGAAATTCAAACTGATGCGTTTTCGCCAGGAGGATGCATGGAAGCGCCAAAATGTATGCATGTAAAAATTTCGAACGTGGCGTAATCTCATAGAAAGACCATTAGGTTTGAATCTATATAAATAGGAGTCTTAGATGTTAGAATTGAGGGTGTTCACATTATATACAAATCAATCATATACTCAAAGTACTTGAGCGAGAGAAAAGAGTTTGTTAATAATGTATGTGTAAGAACACCATTATTTTTGTTTAAAGTCATTTTTCCAGTACAAAGTTATTTTAATTACTTTCATATTCTCTTTAGTTTCCAGTCAAGCCCTTTAACAAATTTTATTGTACTTTCTTTATTAAACATCATCTTTACATTCCTACAAATACCCAGATCATTTTCTTTAAAGTTACATTTAGGATTTATAGTTAAACTTTAACATCTTAAGATAACCATAATCACATAGTAAGATATTGTTATTATTCATATAAATGTCAAACTTTGAGTCAAATTGTAAAAACACTAAGAAACATGTCCTAGGATCAATCTAGTCGATCATGTAAGTTACCAAAACGTAGAGTCTGAAAGGCTAGCGGTTGTTTGTCAGAAATCACTGGTAAACAACATCATATTCTCTCTCCTTACTATTCATGTTTTACTATATATATTATATATTTAAATAATTTTCTTAATTACTATAACCTCTAAATTAATTTATCAATAATTATATATTAATTAACATAACATAACTAAATTTACCAAAATAGCAATTAAGAATTCAACATCTCATAAATTAAGAATTTAAGAACAATCAATTAGAACTCATATCATAATATGATCACAAAATAAATCAATGAAAATAGATTGTTCGATAATTAACCAAGGAATGAAGACTAAAAGTTCTTGATGAATAATTAAAAAAAGGGTTTTACAATAGCCACGATAATTTACACCAAGTTTCAATTTTGTACCTCCCTTTACTTGGATCTGGTGAAGGCTTGTCTGAGTGATTTTTTTTACCAATGAATGACGACAACTCTCAATTTTGTTCTGCAGCAATTTTTTGTCGGATTCACCAAAGTCTTCCTTGAAGTATGAAGAAAACTCTTCTCTTGTTTGATAAGCACAAATCAAAAATGTGAACAAGAAACGATCCTTTATCCTGATACAATCAACAAAACTTCATACAAAAAACATTAGATTTTCTAATGTACCTTAATATACCTCTCATACTCAATCTTTAGAGTTAAATGTCACAATAATGATTTCTTGGTATAAGTTTGACGATGATGAATATTATATAAAAGATCTCACACAACACAATTACAAATTTCTCACACTCTCAACATTCTAGAAAGTTTTTCACAAGGTTGAATTAAGGAGATAATATGTGTGTGTGTGTGTGTGTGTGTGTGTGTGTGTGTGTGTGTGTGTGTGAGTGTGTGTGTGTGTGTGTTTGAATGAATAAATCTTTTTATGGTTTCTCTTAGGATTCTTGAAAAGGAAAGGTTGAGTTCTTGATGAATTTTTTGGGTATTCAAAACAGAAAGATTCAATAGCTTATCAGAGAGTTTATCTTTTCTTGTGATCATAAAAATTGTATCACAAGAAGAATTGTCATATTTTTGACATTTTCAAAAATAATAAACAACTCTCTAGTTAAAGAGACAAACGAAAAGGTTTAAATATGTGCTAGAGATAAGACAGAAAAAGATAGAAAAAGAACAGTGCGATTGGAGTCAAATAATGGGTTTTTGATTGAATCGTAAAAAGAATGAAATGAGTAAAATGTAGTGAAGTGAAAATTATGTTACTTGTTATTTGAATCAAGTATGGATGTGTGATTCGAGTTAAGAAACATATGATTCGAATCACACCTAGTTTTAAAAATAATCTGATGACTATGATTCAAATCACCAATCTTGTGATTTGAGTTAGGAAGTATTGTGATTTGAATCACATACTTCTCTGATTCTAATCAGACTGAGACTAACAGAGATAACTATTTCACTTCCAAGAAAGTTCATTATTCGAATCACAACGTGTTTGATTCAAATTAAGCATTTCAAAATCCTTGATTTAAAATTTCTAACTTGAGATTCAAGTAACACTCAACATTTTGACTTATATCAAATTGCACAAGGCTAAAAACACATTTATAAAGGTCCAATTCTAATTGAATAAATTGAGAGGTTTCTCAAGGTACATGTCTAACAAGTGAATGATAAAATTATAAACAATTATAGACGAATTATACAAACGCGATAAATTAAATTACATACACACAGAGATCAAATAATAGACAGAACATCAAAATAAACAATATCGTCTGACATGTAATTTCAATCTCTTCCTTTTTATGTTTGAAAAATTTGAGATATTATTGATGTTTGGTTTGAGCAAATGTTGAAAATTGTAATTTGTATTCTGGAACGAATTTTATTTCGGACTTAATTGAACAACACACAATAAATGATACACACACGTGGAATTTGATTATTGAGCTATCAAGCTCCCCTTGCATTAAACACTTAATGTGCTTAAATACAATGGTATAATGAAAAAAATAGATAGGACACACATAGATGAACCCAAAATGACATATAAGCCCGTACAAAATGCCACACGATAGTAAATCAATTTAAACTAAAAATCGCATGCAAGCACATATATGCACGATCAATGCAATTTTAGAAAATAGATAAGATAAGAGGTAATATAGTAGACAACATCATATATGAGCATCAACATAATCAAAATAATGTAAAAACCACGCCACACGACATATTATTCAAAATACCAACAGTAACAATGTCTAAAATGTTGTTGGAAGGTGTTTAAAAAAGCATTATTAAACATCAATAATTTTTTTTACAAAAGATGATATTATATAATATGATAAGCTATGGTAAGTTTGATGGAAATGGATCTGCAACAAACTCAAGATCAAGGTCAAAGTAAAATCTCAAACTCTTATTAACAGCAATGGCGTCCTTGATGCTTCCAACGAAAGCAACCATTCGATCTTCCATAACTTTTGCTTCAGCAACTTCAACTTCAAATCGGGCAATTAGGCGATCCTCTCTTATATGAGCCGGAGTATGAATCTTATCCATACAAACTTCCAAGTAGGCCTTCATAGAGGGGGTGATACATATGTAGAAGCAAGAGGTGGAGCAGATGAAGTTGGAGGAACACGGGCCCTTCCGGGAACATAACCTTTTGGATCATCTTTGTTTTGCTTCACGTGCACATCCATATAGAACCAATCGCCAAAATTTTTATAGTACTTCATGAATTTTACAACAGTTAAACCAAACACTTTTGGAGCCTTAAGCATGTATTCTGAAACTTGATGGATATAGTGAGAATCAAGGTGATACTGCATAAATGAAATGTAGAAAACATGATGCCTCATAAATGACCTATAGTTTTTTATTTTGTCTATAATGATCTTCACCCAATTGTCTTCCTTTTGTGTAAGGAGAAACGACATTAGGTAAAGATCTGTTTCGTCAACCCTAGCCTAATTATTAGGTTTCATGTACAGAACCTTGATAACCATCCAGTGCAACTAGGCATGGCAATAAAACTCGTATCTGCGGGTACCCACCCGAATACACCCCGACGTTGACGGGGAAAATTCGCTTTGGCTGGGTTTGGGATCAGGTTTAGGTTTTCCCCAATTATAAAATATGGGGACGGGTCGGGTAATAGAGACACTAGTATCCACCTCGAACCTGCTTCGTTTGTTTTATTATATACATTATTATTTATTTTGATAATTTAAAATGTTAAATATGTGGTCAATATTTTAATAATTTGATTTGTATTTATTATTTAAAATGTTTGAAATGTATATATGAAATTTTTTGAGATTGTTTTATTTTATTATTTATAATGTAATTTTATTTTAGAAAAAATAAATATTTTTATTTTAAAAAATTGATTTTACTAAATGAACGGTGGCTGGACAAGGATACTGGAATCCAACCCAAACCTGTTTCGGACGAGTTTGAGTTTTAATTCTTCATTCCCGTTTGGGTTTGGGACGGGGAATAAAGATTGATTGGAGATTCGGATTTAAGCTTTGAGGAAGTAAAAACCATCTCCGACCCGCCTTGTTGTTATGCCTAAGTGCAACATACGCATTGCAAACCTCATCTGACTAATTTGGAAATCAACAGTGTCAAGAGGACCCTTTTGAAATGCCTTGGAGATCATTTTGACAAATTGCGTGTGGGTGAAGCGAGGGGCATTGGATACACAAACTTTCATTCCCTTATTTTCCAGACAAAAAACATTCTTAAAATCCTTATTACCAAGCTTAATCAACCTTCCACAAAATTGACAATGAATATTAGTAGATGAAGCTTCCATACGACAATAAAAAACTTTGACATTATTCATATTAAAGTTCCTATTGAGTCTAATAAACTTTGAGAAATTGTGATTCCCAATAGGTTTGAAGTAAATCTATACTATTTCAATCTCAACATCCTTATAAACATAGTACTCTGGTTCGATTGGTTTGTTGAGAAAGTGAGTAACAAACTGTTGGAAATAATTTATATTTTAGGAATATCTTTTTATATCTTTGTTAGAGGGTATTTTAGTATTTTATTATACCCTAACTTTGTTATAAATAGCCTAGTAGTAGGTAGGTCAATGCAATTCATTGTAAATTAAGTATTCCTTATTTTTTATCCGTCATTAAATATATTCATTTTCTTCTTTTATCTCTCCTTTGTGCATCAACAATTAGTATCAGAGCTCTGGTTCAAAATCCACGGGGAAACACGAGTGAACAGCGAGGTTGAATTTTTTTTATTATGTAACCACTATTTTTATTGAGTTTTTGCGTAAATTGCACAAGGTTGAAGATAAACGAAAACGGTGATATAAATTCCAAGCTTCCAGCATTTCATGGCAAACTGGAATCGTTGGAAGATCCAGATGCGTGTGCTATTTAGATCTCAATATATGTTAGATCTTGTCACCGATGGCTATGCTCCATTAGCAGCAAACACAACAGAGGCACAGAAGATAACACAGAAGGCGCTAAGGAAGAAAGATCAGAAGGAGTTGTTCTACATCCATCAATGTATGGATGCGAACATGTTTGAGAAGATTGTTGACTCTGAAACAACAAAGGCTGCGTGGGACACACTGGTCAGATGTTACAGTGGTGACGCATCAGTGAAGAAGGTGAAGCTTCAGTATCTCAGAAAGAAATATGAGAATCTCAACATGAAGGACAACGAGAAGGTTTCTAAGTACATCTCTAGAGTGATTCTTATCACTAATGAGATGAAAGCTTATGGAGAAACTCTTTCTGAACAAGTAATCATTAAGAAGATATTGAGATCTTTAACTTCTCAGTTTGATTACATTGTGGTAGCAATTGAATATTCCAAAGATCTGAGCACCATGAGAGTTGAAGAGCTGCAAAGTAGTCTAGAGGCGCATGAGTTGCGTATGACTGAGAGTACTTCTGAGAGGGAAGTAGAGCAGTAGGCTCTGAAAGTAACTTCTGGTAAGAAGTATCAGAAGCAAACTTTGTCAGAAGCCATGAAGAAAACTAATGTTGGTCAAAGGTAAAAAGCATCAAACTCTGATATGCAGAAGAATGTCAAGAAGGGAAAGGAGAAGTCTGACAATAAGAATATTCAGTGTTACTGTTGCAAGAAATTTGGTCACTATGCCAAAGATTGCTAGTCGAACAAAGAAAGGAAGTCAGAAGAAGCAAATATAGCCAGAGGAGATTCTGATGATGAACTTGTTCTATTGTTTTCTTCTGAACTTGATAATATGAATTAATAAGAATGGTGGTATATGGACAAAGGGTGTTCAAACCATCTTACTGGAAACAAGAAATGGTTGGTTGATTTTGACTTTGGGAAGAGTACAATGATAAAATGTGTTGATGATAAATACCTCAATGTAGAAGGTATGGGAAATGTCAGAATCATTCTAAACAAAGGGAAAGCAGCAGTGATCCAGAATGTATGGTATGTACCTGACATGAAAAGCAATCTGACGAGTATGGGACAACTGATTGAGAAAGGTTTTCCGATTACCATGAAGGACAATCTTCTAAAGCTGTATGACTGTAATTAGAAGCCTGAGAAGTCATGCAAGGTGTGCATGAAAGGGAAGAAACCAAGATTACCATTTGCATCAGAAGTAGCTCCAAGAGCAAATCACGCCTTGGGAGTAGTGCATTCTGATGTCTGTGGTCCATTTCCAGTAGCATCAATTGGAAAGAATAAATACTTTGTGTCATTTGTTGATGAGTTCAACATAATGACATGGGTATCTCTCATAAAGTTAAAATACGGGGTGTTTGCTGAATTCAAGAAGTTCATACTGAAGGTTGAGAATCAGAGTGGCCAGACTCTGAAGATTCTTAGAACTGATGGTGGTGGTGAGTATAACTCCACAGAATTCAGAAGGTTCTATAAGGGGAATGGAATTGAGCATGAAGTTACTGCTCCCTATACTCCTCAACACAATGGTCTTGCTGAAAGAAGAAGTCGTACTTTGCTTGATATGGTGAGAAGCATGCTGAAAGAGAAGAAGCTTCCTCATGCTTTGTGGGGAGAAGTTGTTGTCACTGCATGTTATGTGCTTAACAAATGTCCAACGAAGAAGCTGAAGGAAATAATTCCTATTCAGAAGTGGACTGGAGATAAGTAAAGTGTTAGTCATCTGAAGGTGTTTGGTTTTGTATGTTATAAACATGTCCCAGAAGCCAGAAGACAGAAGTTGGATGATAGAAGTAAAGTAATGTTACTGGCGGGGTACCGCAGTACAGGTTCGTACAAACTTTATTGTCTAGAAACTAATAAAATTGAGCTCAGCAAAGACGTCATTGTAAAAGAATCAGAAGTCTGAAATTGGGAAAGGTCTCGTCCTGACTCTAATGAGAGAACTCTTGAAGAAAAGTCAGAAACACATGTTTCTGAAGACTCTAAAGAAGATTCAGAAGGTAAAGATGATTCTGACTCTGACTCTGATGGTTATTCAAACTCTGGGGATTTTCCAGACTTTAAAGACATTCAAGGTTCTGGAGAAAGTCCTATTTTTGAAGCAAGAGATTCTGAAGGGGAAATTTTGGGTGTTCGAGGTTTTGAAGTTCAAATTCAGAGGCAACAAAGAGTCAGGAGCATCCCAAGAAGATCTGCAGAGTTTGACATGTTACACGACACTAAAGTAGATTATTAAGGAGAAGTTATTCAGTGTGCAATTTTAGTAGACTCTGAACCCGTGAGTACGAAAGAAGCTCTTAAGCAGCAAGTATGGTTGCAGGCCATGAAAGAAGAACTTGATGCTATAGAGAGAAACAAGACTTGGAAGCTGACAGAACTTCCAAAAGGCAAGAAAGCCATCAACGTCAGATGGATTTTCAAGCAAAATCTAAAGCCAGATGGATCAATTGGCAAACACAAAGCAAGATTAATAGCAAGAGGCTTTCTAAAGAAGCCTGGGTTGGATTACTCTAAAGTGTTTGCACCTGTAGCGAGACATGAAACAATCAGACTAGTGATTGCAATAGCTGCTAACAGGAATTGACCTCTGATGCATTTAGATGTAAAATTTGCATTTATGAATGGTCTATTACAAGAAGAGGTATACGTGTCACAACCTTTTGGATTTAAGAAAAAGAATCAGGAAGGGATGGTGTTCAAATTACACAAAGCCTTGTGTGGATTAAAGCAAGCGCCCAGAGCCTGAAATTTGAAGATTGATTCATTTTTCAAGGGACATGGGTTTCAAAAGTGTGAAATGGAGTATGGTGTTTATGTTCAGCATACTTTAAAAGGTAATATGATTTTGGTATGTTTGTATGTTGATGACATATTACTCACATGAAGTTATGAACAAGAGATAACTGAGTTCAAGAAGGTTTCGACGAATGCGTTTGAGATGACATATCTTGGGAAAATGAGTTTCTTTATAGGGATGAAGTTTATGTACTCTGAGAAAGGAATCATTTTGCATCAGATGCAGTATGAACTTGAGCTTCTGAAGAGATTTGAGCCAGAGAATTGCAAAATTGCTATCAAACTTGCTGATACAAATCAGAAGTTGGACTCTGATTCTGATGGAGAGGATGTGGATGCTACAACCTTCAAACAGATGGTTGGTTCTCTGAGGTATTTGTGTAATATCAGACCTGATATTTGCTATGCAGTTGGAATGGTTAGCATATTTATGAATAAACCAAAATGGTCTCATTACCAAGTTGTTGTCAGGATTCTGAGGTATGTGAAGGGAACTCTGAAGTATGGAGTGTTATTTTCTTCTGGAAGAAAGATTGAATCAAAACTTCAGAGTTATTCAGACTCTGATTACTGTGCAGACAGAGTTGATAAAAGAAGTACTTCTGGATACTTATTCAAATTTCTGGAAGGT